GTGTGCATATGTGTGTGTGTGTATATGTGTGTGTGTGTGTGTGTGTGCATATGTGTGTGCATATGTGTGTGTGTGTGTGCATATGTGTGTGCGTGTGTGTGTGCGTATGTGTGTGTGTGTATATGTGTGTGTGTGTGTGTGTGTGCATATGTGTGTGCATATGTGTGTGTGTGTGCATATGTGTGTGCGTGTGTGTGTGCGTATGTGTGTGTGTGTATATGTGTGTGTGTGTGTGTGTGTGCATATGTGTGTGTGTGTGTTACCAGGGCAGTCCTGTTAAATCTGGAGGAGGCGCCTACAGAGAGCAGACAACACATTTACTTAACAAGCAGTAGATACTAGGAGTTATCATGCAGATTTGTATTATTATTGTACGCCGAAATGTAAAATTTATTACATCAAATTTAATCTAAACCTGGAAACAAACGAAAACATTTAGGATTTGAAATTGTGCTCTATTTCTGTCATTAATCGAGTGCTGCTCTCCACAAAGCATGAACCAAATAACAAGACATTATTAAACTCATGCTCAGTTTTCATTACAATTTCACTCAAACTGTTATACTGATAATCTAATTTAAAATGAAAAAGTGGACCCCACTGGAACTGTACAGTATTATGATTATACAATAAACTAGGAAATATTGTCAGAAATATATAAATATTAAAAATGACAGGAAATAAGAACTGTAGGAAAAAATAAAGATTAAAAATAAAAATTGTACGACATAAATAAAGATGAAAAATTATAGAGTGAAGTAAATAAAAAAAATGTAGAAAGTAAAAATTGTATTACATAAAAATAAACATTAAAATATAAATACAAATTGCAGGGAAAAATAAAGATAAAAAAATTTAGAAAATAAAAAGATTAAAAACTAGAAAAAAAAATGCAGGAAGTAAAAAATTTAGGAAAAAAAAGCAAGATAAAAAAAGAGGGAATTAAAAATTGTGGGAAATCAAAACATAAATAAATAAACAGTATCGGATATAATGACTCAATATCAGTTATTGGATCTACATTTTATTGATCCACTCACCGGCACAAACGGATGAACTTTACTGCAGGGAAACCAGCCGACCTCTCCGATGGTCAGATTCCTGCCCTGTAACACACACACACACACACACACACACACGTCAGCTTTATATAAAACCACTATTATATACAGTATATTCATATTTATATGAGGTCAACATCACGTATCGCTCTGAGTCATATCCAGGATTTAACATGACAAAAAAAAAAACTTAAGACATGCGGAAAAGAGAAGGAGAAAGTGCAGACGAGTGTAGGTTTCTCTTCTCCATTATTAACACACAGATCAGATCCTGCTGTAACCTCATTCACACATGAATCAAAACTGAAAGAGACTCGCTCACAAAGCCTCGCGCTTCTCTTCATATAGTCATATCATCAGAGTATACACGCTTTGATGTGTTGTTCATCTTTTCTTTACTGCGTTGCATCGTTATATGTGGTGTAAAATGACTGAACATGATGAATTGCCATCAGTGTTAAAGATGAATGTGTTTGAGGTTTTATTTCTACATGTGAAAAAATGTGTTTTAAAGATGGGTCGTGGTCACCAACCTGAAACGTGCATTATTTAATATACACTAAATACATATCAGAAAGACGGCGAACAGAAAGCCGTCTCTCTTGTGCTGAATTCATCAAATGGTGTGGCATTGTGTTAACAGTGCTCGTTGAGGAGCTCACTGGCATCTAGTTCTCCGGTGTCCAGAGACACTCCTGTACGTGTGTGTGTGTGTACGTGTGCGAGTGTGATGTGTGTGTGCGAGTGTGTGTGTGTGTGTGTGTGTGTGCGCGAGTGTGTGTGAGTGAGTGAGTGAGTGAGTGCGAGTGCGTGAGTCTGTGTGTGCGTGCGTGAGTGTGTGTGTGTGTGTGAGTGAGTGTGTGTGAGTGAGTGAGTGAGTGAGTGAGTGAGTGCGAGTGCGTGAGTGTGTGTGTGTGATGACCCCTCACCTCCCACCACTGCAGGTCGACCTCGGCTCGCGTCAGCTCCACCGTGTCTCCCACAGACAGCAGCAGCGGCTGACCAAACTCCAGCGGCGGCGGAGGGAGACCGTAATAATCCACACACACCTCCATCTTCGGCAGACCTGATCGAGACAGAGTGTGTGAGGGACACGGACCAGAGTGTGTGTGTGTGTGTGTGAGGACGCTGTGTGACGTGTGTTTACCTGGTTTGGTCTGTCTTTGAGATGTTAACCTCATCGTTTTATTCTGAAACAACAGGAAAATACACTTCAACACCCACAAACACAAACTAACACAAATAAACATCAACAGCACCATCGCTGACTTCATTTGCATTTTCTTTTATTTTATTGTATTTTTTATTTTATTTTTAATTTTATTGTATTTAATTTTTGTTTTCATTTTATTTTATCTTTGTTTTTATTTTATTTTATTGATTTTCTTTTATTGATTTTCTTTTATTTTTTATTGATTTTATTTTACCAGCATATTTAAGCTGTTTAAATGTCAAATGTTTGGATTTAGGGTCACTTTCACAGTGTGTAAATGGGTTTATCACGTGTTTGTGTGTCAACATATGCATAAAGTCCAATTTGAAACAACAGGACGTGCTATAAAGAAATGAAATAAAAGTTTATACGACATAAAAAATATACAAAAAGTAAGTGACATAAATAATTTGGATGCACAGACCTTCTTGAGCGTTCCTGACAGTTCTGTGGAGTGAATGAGAAGCACATGTGAAGTCGACTGAACGAACATCAGTGACACATTACATTCTCACAGGTTCTTTATCTGTTTTCTCACCAGAGTTTCGTCCGCATGCAGGAACTCGACCCAGACACTCTTTATGAGCAGCCATCCTACAGCGCGAGCAGCGGTAGCCCTGAAAGAAGATCCCCCTGACACACACACACACACATAACAGACACACACACACACACACACACACACACACACACACACAGACACACATGCGCACACACACACACACACACACACACAGACACAGACGCACACACACAGACACACACACACACACGCGCACAGACACACACATCAGCAAATAAACCTCACATCTCCAGCTACAGCAGCAGATTTACTCTCCTTTATATCTTACAGGAGTCTCATCCTGACACATCTACATTAGTCTTCATTCTCTGAGTTTGATGAGTTTGATGAAACTCGAAATGAAACGATTCAGCAACTTTCACAGCTCAGAACTTCCTCCCGGAACTAAAAAGAGCATGTACTGAAAACAAGCTGCCAACCAGTGTTGTTATTATCAACAAACACTCTCAGCTATTTCATGAGCTGAAATAAAACATTAGATGAAAAACTTAGAAATGTTTCCCTAAATGAAAATAAGTTAAAGTAAATAACTAAATTAGTAAAACTAAAATAAATAAAAAATTTAAGAGAATTATTAAGCAAAAATTTATAAAATAACAAAATTAAAAGTGTAAACTAAAACTCAAATGAACACTGAAAATATAAAAATAAACATTAATTAAAAACTAATAAAACTGCTAAAAGTCACATGTGATACTTTTGCATTTCAGAAAGCGAAATGTATATTAGATACAAGAACCAACATAATAAACCGTAAAAATGATTGCTGCGATTAGTTATCACAACTTAAAATTCAACATTCGAATAAGTAAAAATGCATTGTTTCAACTTTAAAAAAGTAAGCATTTACTGAAACCCGAGCTGCGAATCTGGTGTTCAGTCCTAAAGTAAGTTAAAATACTAATATACTAAAACTGAAATACAAATATTAAGCAAAAAATGAAAACTGAAAATCAAAAATAATTAAAAATAATCATAAATACTCAATAGCATATCGATAATACTAAAATAAAACACATTTCTGCAACTTTCCCGTGTCAGAAAGCAAAATTTAGCAATACAAGATCCAACATAATACAGCATATAAATAAATGCTGCCATTATTTATCTCAACAAATTTGAAGCTGCTATAACTAACTGCAGCAGCATTCTGGTGTTTGTTGAGCAGAAAACAGCAGCTCATTCACTGGTGAACACTGGCGTGAAACGACTGATTTAAAGTTCACCTGAGGAGCATCCGACAGGCTTTACACGAGGTGGTGTCCTCAAAACAGTGCATCTGAAAGTCATGACCGTTAGCCGTGCTGTTCTCCGGACACATGTTGGACCTACGAACATGTATGTTATATTATACTATCATAGGAGCAGCATATTAGAGCTGTAGCTGAGCTGAAGGTTTGAGGAACATAGGAGCGGTGGACTCACAGCGCCATCTCAAACTGCTCCAGCCACTTCTTCTTCAGCTCTCGTGTCTTAAAGAAGAGATCGTAGCCGCCCTGACCGTACAGATCCATCAGCAGGAAGGTGTGCGTCCACTGTAAATACACACAAGCGTCAGGTACAGGTGTGTTCTGATGATGATGATGATGATAATGATGAAGCTCTGTGAGACCAGAGGAGGTGTGTAGAACCTTCTTGCTGTCCTTCTCTCCTGACGGCTCGTCTCTCAGCTGGTAATGCTGAAGCTCAATCAGCTCCTTCAGCTCCAGACTCTCGCCGCTGCGCTTCTTACACACTAGCAGAGCCTTATCGAAGAGAAAGCCATACCTGCACACACACACACACACACAGAGAGAGAGCTTTACACACGCTACACACAAGCACAGCCTTATCGAAGAGAAAGCCGTACCTGCACACACACACACACACAGAGAGAGCTTTACACACGCTACACACTACCACAGCCTTATCGAAGAGAAAGCCGTACCTGCACACACACACACACACAGAGAGAGCTTTACACACGCTACACACTACCACAGCCTTATCGAAGAGAAAGCCGTACCTGCACACACACACACACACAGAGAGAGCTTTACACACGCTACACACTACAGACAATAACGTTTGGAAATTGTATGGATTTCATTTCCATCACACACACACACACACACACACACACACACACACACACACACACACACCCACACTCACACTCTCACACACTCACACACACACACACACACACACACACACACACACACACACACACTCACACACACACACACACACACACACACACAAAGAGAGAGAGAGAGCTTTACACACGCTACACACTAACAACCTGTTCACATCAAGAACGATACGCATCACAATAACTATAAAAATAAGACAACTGTGACGTCCACAGCACAACTATAACAATAAAAGCACAGAGGATTTCTTTTCCCCAGAAGATGAACAATAAAAACTTTGACAACCAATAAGAATCCACCAGAATTTAAAGAGCTTGAATATTTAAAGAGACAGACGTCAAAACTGCAGCATGTTTATAACAAACAGAATGTTATCGTCTGTTAATGTGGGTGCTGATATAGTAATCATTAGTTATCATTATAAATATATCGTTAAAGCTATCTTTACAAATATCATTAAAGTTACATTTTGTACTGTAGTTGTAGTTATCATTATGGTTATCATTATATTAATCATTATTGTTACAGTTATCGTTATCATAGTTATAGTTATAATAAAATATTTTGGTTACACTTTATTTTAAGGTGTCCTTGTTACAGTGTAATTATACAATTAAGTATGGAATAATATTAATTAACTACATGCACTTACTATATGGTTAGGGTTAGGATTAGGGTTTGGCGAAGGGTTACTTGCATGTAATTATGCATAAATAATTGTTGTTATAATAGTAAGTACATATAAGTACATGTGTAACAAGGACACCTTAAAATAAAGTGTTACCAATATTTTTATAGTTATTATTACCGTTATAGTTATCATTATCGTTATAGTAATCGCTATAGTTATAGTTATCGTTACAGTTTTCATTACCATTACAGTTACTGTTATAGTTATCGTTATCATTATCGTTAGAGTTATAGTAACACACAAACACACCGGTCCTGTTTGGATTTCTTCTCCAGATTGCAGATCTTGAATTCCCCGTCTATTTTGGGTCGTCCGTATAACGCCAGAGACAGAGACTTAACAGAGGGACAGAGAGTCCGAATCAGCATCAAACACAAATGAATCAGAATCAGCATCAAACACGAATGAATCAGAATAGTGAGAATCTGTACCATGTTCTCGATGCACAGCTGAAACGTCGTGATCTGACGGATGATCTCATTGTCTCGCTTCACCTCGTTCACACACTGAGCCAGATCCTGCACACACACACACACCAGCAGCATGTTCATTTTGGTTACACTTTATTTTAAGGTGTCCTTGTTACAGTGTAATTATACAATTAAGTATGGAATAATATTAATTAACTACATGCACTTACTATATGGTTAGGGTTAGGATTAGGGTTTGGCGAAGGGTTACTTGCATGTAATTATGCATAAATAATTGTTGTTATAATAGTAAGTACATATAAGTACATGTGTAACAAGGACACCTTAAAATAAAGTGTTACCAATATTTTTATAGTTATTATTACCGTTATAGTTATCATTATCGTTATAGTAATCGCTATAGTTATAGTTATCGTTACAGTTTTCATTACCATTACAGTTACTGTTATAGTTATCGTTATCATTATCGTTAGAGTTATAGTAACACACAAACACACCGGTCCTGTTTGGATTTCTTCTCCAGATTGCAGATCTTGAATTCCCCGTCTATTTTGGGTCGTCCGTATAACGCCAGAGACAGAGACTTAACAGAGGGAGAGAGAGTCTGAATCAGCATAAAACACAAATGAATCAGCATCAGCATCAAACACGAATGAATCAGCATCAGCATCAAACACAAATGAATCAGAATCAGCATCAAACACGAATGAATCAGCATCAGCATCAAACACAAATGAATCAGAATCAGCATCAAACACAAATGAATCAGAATCAGCATCAAACACGAATGAATCAGAATAGTGAGAATCTGTACCATGTTCTCGATGCACAGCTGAAACGTCGTGATCTGACGGATGATCTCATTGTCTCGCTTCACCTCGTTCACACACTGAGCCAGATCCTGCACACACACACACACACCAGCAGCATGTTCATTTAACTAATCATGAGTTAAATTCATGTTCATGAGCTTTTCTACTCATTTTACCCCTAGTTGGCGCTCTCACTTCACTGCACATCCTGATCAAAATACCCACAAAGTTCTGACTCAATGCACAGACGTTGTGGCAAAATTTCTTTGCATCATTCTTTGGCGCCTGATTCATTTGTGGGTG